CGATGCTAGCACCAGCTCAGGACCTAGGCGCTGCCCAGACTGCTGTGGGGGCCTCACTGGCAGCCCTGGAAAGCTGTGTCTGTCCCCTGGGCCCCAGAGTCTCTTCAGGGTCCTCTGAGGATTCCAGCACCCACTGCATTGGCCCCACTTCCCCACCCCATACCGCCTCGAGCTCTTGCTCGCCACTGTACAAGCCTGCTGACTGGGCACTGCTTATCTTCCCTGGGCCTCAGTTTTACTGTGTGAACAGGGGGGCTGTAATTAGGTGTGTCTCGGATATACACCACACAATGTGTGCGCTACGGGAGCACCGTGCGGTGTGATTGGGAACTACAGTGAATGTTGAAACGCTGAAAAATGAACTGCCGTAGAAGACACAAGGCTGTGGATGCCCCCAGCATCCTCCTCCTCCCTGGAGCTCACCCCTCCCATCGTCCTTGCCCCCTCCCGCAGCCGCTCTGAGTCCTCTTTTCTGAGTGTCTTTCGTTGTGGTGTCCGGGCTGTCCACAGCGTTTTCCTTTCCTGGCTGTTGGGAGTGTGGGGAGGAGCCAGGCCGCATGGTGCCTGAGCGGGTGAATGGGGAGGACGCGGGTCCAGCGTCGAGCTCTATGAGGCCGCCTTTCATTGGAAGGTGCCTGATAGCACCAGTCACCGTGTTTTAATCCCTCTTTATGAAGACGCTTGCGAAGCAGGACTCCAGAGCTGCTATAGAAGGTGGCAGGAGGGTGGGATGAGTGTTGGAAAGGCGGTGGTTGAGGGAGACTCCAGCGGCGGGCCTCTCACTACAAACTTAGACATTTACCGTGTGCTTTGATCACCACATAGATGTCACTTGTTGCTATCTGTAAGAATACTGCCATGGGCTTGCGCACAACAGTGCCGCACAGCCACAGCCAGAGCAGCGAGGCCGCTTCCCACGCGTTCTCCGCGCCGGCGCTGCTGTCTGGCGCCCTTGAGATCCCGGAGAGACGCAGAATCCTGGCCCTGCTGGACCTGTGGCGCAACCTGCGGGCGCCCAGTTCCGGATCCCTGCTGGCCCACGGTGGGGGCAGAGGGCGGCATGGCCCTGGGGGACCTCACAGACACAGCCTGCGTGGTACTTCCTGCTGCTTCTGCAGACAGGCGTCCTCTGTGACACCCTGGGGACAGCCGGGCCTTATTATCCCCTGCGTCCCCCGGTCTGAGGATGGGTGTGCCCGATGCTGCGCGAGGAGCTTTCTGTGATACAGTGTGCATGCTGTGGGATTGCACCCTGAACACACGGCTCCAGGCCACTATGTCCCCAGCGGCCAGGCTCACTGCCATTGAGCAAGTGAAGACCGTGGGCCAGTGGTGTGTCGCTTGCATTCCTCGCTGAGAACCCCAGGAAGCAGGGCTGTGACTGCGGCTCACGGATTAGGAGACCGAGACCCGTGAGGCGTCTTCTGCCTCTGCCCCCAAGCGCTCCGCTCCATGGCAGCCGCTGCAGGAGAGTGTGCCCAGCCTGCTGCAGAGCAGCTGCCTTCCGGTGCTTTTTCAAAAAGGGAAAACTGGCAGCCCCAAGGAGTCTGGGCCCTCACTTTAACGAGAGGTGTACTGGGGGGGTGGGTGCTGAGCACCTCTTAAACAGGCAAATTCATGGCGCCTGGGCTGCACCCGCAGCGGCATTATGCATTAAACTAGCAGGTGGCCATGTTTAAAAGCGCCGTGTTATGAGGCACACAGCACCGTCTAGACGCGGGAGCATTTATGGAGATGCCGCACCGAGTCAGGGAGACGCTATTCCCGTCCTGGTCCTCTCTGCTGTGTGTCTGGGACGCAGGTTTCCAGGCAGAGCCTGTGGTTGCAGATGCTTGGCCCTCTTCTGTCACCTCCGCTCTTCTCTGCAGCCCTGACGTTTGAGGAAGCCTGGCGAGGAGCTTGCCCCATGATGCCAGCCTGGCAGAGCACGTTGGCAGCGGCTCTGAGACGTGGCATTTTGTCACGATGCTGGGCAGAGTCTCACTGGCCCCCTCTCTCAAACCTGGTTCTGGGTGGACATAGAGAACCCAGAACTGCCAGAGCCGTGGAGGCCATCCCAGGACCCTGCGCAGTTAACTGAGGGGGCTACATAAGGAGGGCGGCAGGTGGCCTGGGCTTGTCATGGTGGCCCAGTGATGTCTGGCTTCTTGTCTCAGATGAGGCCACCCATAAAGAACTGGGTGGAGACAGATGTGGTCTCTGTGCCCAGGAGCATTGCTTGCTGCCCTGTAGTGGGCTGCAGGGAACTCACCTTTGCCCTGAGCAAGGAAGGAAGAAAGGAAGGGAGGAAGGAAAGGAGGGAAGGTTCTACTTAGGCGACATGCACTCTGGGTACCAAAGGCTGACACCTCTAGCCAGGACTTGAACTCGTGTCCCTAAACATTACACGGCACCCGCTCTCTGCACTGGCTCAATATCCTTTGGCTCTGTGATGCAGGTGCTCATTAGGGAGCTCCATTTATGGGTCTCATCTTTCTCAAAACGTTTAAAAATATTCTTAGCACTGTTCTTTTTTTTTTTTTTTTCTATTTTAGGGAAGGGTATGCAGGGTGTTCAGGATCTCACTACTAGGTTGCACCTGTAGTGATCTGCCTGTTTACAGCCTCCCAAGAACTGGAATTACAGTCACATGCCACCACGCCCAGTCTCAATTGCCAGCTCAGCACGCCCTGGGGGTGGGGCCGGCATGGCAGGCCCGGGGATTGAACCCCCGGCCCCCGCGCCTGCTTGCAGGTGCTTTAATCCGCTGAGCTATTTGCCGGCCGTCTTAGCACTGTTCTTAGCAACCTGGGTCATAGGGATACAGCCCTAGCATAGAGCAAGCAGGTAGAGAGGAAAGAGAATTCCAGCTGGCCTGAGATGCGCTGCAGAGGGCAGGGAGGGAGGCCGAGGGTGGCCCGGGGCTGCAGCGTGCGCCCTCACGCGGGTCTGCACTGCGCGTTGGCTGCCTATGGAGTGCTGCTCTCATGCGCTGCTGTTATGTCTTCTTGGTTCACCGTCGCGGTTCCTAGCATCTGTCTCCTGGCCTCACACCCCACCTTGTAAATGGGGAGCAGAATGAGCCCTCTGGCCTTCGCAGTGGCCACCAGATCGCAGGCAGGGTGAGCAGTGGTGGAGGGACGGCACCGTGGGCGTTACTGTTTGTGGAAGCCTTCGGGTTTCCACAGCCTGAGTGCCTTTGCTTAGAGTATGGGCCGCCCTTTCCGTGCCTGGCTGGAAGTGCCCTGTGAGCCGCACGGCAGGACCGTTGGCCTGCTGCTCCGGGGAACTGGCGGGGAGCGCCTTGCCTCCTGGCCTGCCCTTCCTTCCTCCTGCTCTCCTTACCTGGAGACAGGGTCTCGCTGTGTAGCCCGGGCTGGCCTCAGACTCACTGGTGCCACCTGTTTCAGCTCCTGAGTGCTGGATTGCGGGTGCCACTCCCTGCCTGGAGTGGGCTCCCCGGGTGGCCAGGGTGGTGGAAGGCTTTGCTCCTGTTCTGATTTGACAGTAGGACTGTCTAGAGGCAAGCTCAGGGGCTGCGTCCTCAGAGGGTAGCAGCTGCCCCCAGTCCGTCTTCTAGGGATGGAGGGATGTAGGAGTTGGCCCGGTGGCCGGCCATCCTCCACGGCCTGTCTGCTTCCTGGAGCACCAGCTGGCCAGGCCGCAAGCCTCCCCCAGGCCAGATGAAGCCTGGCCACTGTTTCTCTTCCTTGACCTCCATCCCAGGAGAAGAGGCCCCAGCTACCTGTGGCGTGGGGCTGCTGGGAGGTCAGGGTGGCCCTGAGCCTGGCCTCATGGTGGAAGGAGGCTGTGGGAGCGATGGCTTACTCTTCACTGCAGCCCCCGTTGCTGTCTGGGGGAGGGCGGGCTCAGGGCCGCAGACCTGCACTCATGAAGACCCCACCTGTACAGCAGTGAGCGGGGTTGCATACCGGAAGGGCGGAGGACGCCGCGGACCTGCAGGGAGTTTCTGATTAGCCTGTGCTTTGGGAGACCACCGAACAGCAAAGCCCATCCCCGCTCCCCAGCTCTGCCGAGTCACGGGTGGACGGCTGGGTTTGAACGGCGCCCTGTGGGTCAGGGTCTGTGGGGAGCCAGGCAGGCAGGAGTTGCAGTTGTTCGGGACCCCGAACGGGCTCAGCAGAGGCCGGTCCAGCGCAGCCTGGGCTGTCAAGATGGTGCTGTGGGCTGCTGCTGATGGCAGATCTGTCACTGCAGATGGCTCTGAGCCTGTGAGACTGGGGGTGGGGGGTCCTCTAGGAGAGTGTGGTGCGGGTGAGAGGGAGGTCACAGACGACCCTGTGGGAAGGGACAGGGCACAGAGTGGGTGGTGGGCTTCCTGTTACCCCTGGGTGCCCTTTATCCTGTGTCGTTTTGCCCTCTGTAGAGTCCAAGTGGGTTAAATGACCAAGCAGCTGGTACAAGCGAAGGTGGATCTGCTGGCAGATGTGCTGCTGTCCTCCCTCTTTCTGTCACTTTGCTTCATCCTGCTGTCTCCAGAGGGGCTTCTTGTCGCACCACACCACGGTGCTCTGCGGAAGGTGTCCCCGCAGGGGAGGGTGTGGGGAGATTTGGTCTGCAGCACAGCGGGGAGCCTGAGCCCAGGCTGGGTGGGGATGGCCTGGAGACTGCCAGGAGGCGGGGCTTTTTTTAAAGTGACCATCACACATTAGAACTGGTGGTCTATATGTCACTCAGCGTGTTTACTGAGGGCACCCAGGAGACCCAGCTTGTCTTTTGTCTTTTCTCAAAGGGTACAGATTGCTAGAGAAACTGTTCAGGCCGTGTTAGGCAGCCTGTACTTTATGAAAAACCCACGCTCCTACACCGTAGGCTATTGCTGGGGGAAGGATGTTTTTGCTCTAAATGAAAGACATGACGGGGGTATTTCGGAGCTTTGTTTTGGTGACTGTCAGATTTGCCAACAAGCAACATCTGCATTTATTTTTCAGCCCTCCCCCCTCTGGCTGATTTGCATCTGTTTAGTTCTCTGAGTAACATTTCATTTCCTGACTTTATAGGTCGCTATAAAATCCATTCGTAAGGACAAAATTAAGGATGAACAAGACATGGTTCACATCAGACGAGAGATTGAGATCATGTCATCCCTCAACCATCCTCATATCATCAGCATTTATGAAGGTCAGTGATGCCTCTTTTCACTCCCATATCAGTTACCATTGCCCATTCCACGGGGGCTTGCCAAGGCTTTTATGGGTAATTGCCCTGCTGGGCAGGAGCCAAATATTTTTCTACATGATGCAAAAATAGCCCAGTGTTATCTCCTACTTGTTACCTTGAATGCAGCCAGACACATACAGGGCCGCTCATCCAGGTCATAAAATGTGGCTGGCAGGCACCTTGTTCCATCTTCCCGATCCTCAGGGGTTGCTTAGCAACCTGTGTTATTGAAAGCCAGCCTGCGAGAGGCAGCCAGTGACTGTGGGAGATGGCAGCTTGCTGGGTGCCCCAGTGACGGCAGATACACGGTCACTGTCTTTCCCTAGGAGGGGTCGCGTTGCCAGGGTGTGAAGAGTTTCCCTGTGCGGCTGATTCAGTTAGGAATGAACTCTGAGCAGCCCCGGGAAGTGCCGAGGAAGAGACCTGGGGCTGCAGACACTGCTGACACAGCCGGATTGGAGCTGGTGTTTATAAGAGGGGGAGGGGGCTTATAAAAATGTTTCTGCTTCGGTTCAGCTCTTGGGTCCTTCCTGGGAAGAAACACAAAGTATAAACCTCTCCCAGCCTGTAATTTTTTTTAATATCCTGCAAGAAATGACACAGGCAATGCATGTGATTGAAATACACATGTTGAAATTAAAAAAAAAATAATTGCTTCTCTAACTCCTGGTTTGAGGCACAATCCCACGTGTGTCTGTATTTGTGTGTGGTTTTTACCCAAAGTTGGATTACATGGGTTATGCTGCTTTTCGTCTGTTACACCATGTATCTCTTCACCTGCCAGCAAACATTGTTTACAGAAACATTTAAAGAGGCTTGCTTCATAATATTTCATTTATGGACATACCGTAATTTATTGAATCTCATTGCTGTTGCCGAATGTTTAAATTGTTCCAAATTTCTGGCTGTTATGTAAAAGATTTTATTGATTTTCCTTCTGCATCATTTTCACAGTTATTTCTGATGATTTTCTTATTAAAAAATTCCTAGTTTTAGGCTTGATGAGTTGAAGTGTTTCCCAGGATACTTTTGAATCTGTGAAGCTGACAGATGAGTGAACCTATTTTTAATCTCTGGGGGGAACCCAAATTGTTATCAAGTGGGGCTAAGAAACCAGATGGTGTTTGACTTTCCTGCATATTTTTTTTTTTGCCATGCCCCCTCCTTGCTGCTTTAATGTTGCCTTACAGCTACATATAGATATTGGAATATCTTACTATCCCAGTCCTTCAAAGGTGCATTTTGGAGACCATGAGGGAAATGTCCCCTTTCAGGGGACATTTAACTCTTCCATCGTGTATCCATTCCACAGACATGTCATGCTTTGATCCTCAAAGTGTGGCTCCTGTCCGGCAGCGTCAGGTTGAAATGATCGGAACTGCCGAATCTCTGGCCTCAGCCCGGCCTGCCGACTGGGAGCCTGGGCCGGCCATGCATGTGTGCTTCACAAGTGGGGGATATCATCCACGTGCTGACTGGCTTCTTTCTCCTGAGTCCTCTTCAGGTCAGCTTGTGCGTTTAGAGATGAGCGCACTGTGGGTCCCAGAGCTCGGAAGCGCACACGGGGTTGTGTGCAAAAGCATTGTACCGCCGCACACGCAGCAGAAATAGGGGCCTGAGACAGACATTTCTTGGAGATGCTGGAGGGGAGTTGGGCCAGTGTCTGATTCCATGCTGTTAAATCAGAATGTGCTGCAGAGCAGAGGGAATTTCCAAGACTCACCAGAGATGAGAGGCTCAGAGTGCAGGGCGAGGGTGGGTTTCTTAAGTTCTGAGGGTTGCGGCAGGCGGCCTCGTTACTGTGGTCATCTGAAGGCCGGCCCGATGCCGACCTGTGTGGTGTGGGCTGGGAGCGCCCTGCGCCGCCCAAGCACCGCTCTGAGCTCTGCTGTCCTGCTGCAGGGGGTTCCGTGGGGAGGGCGGCGAGGCCACCCCCAGCGGGAAGTCTGTGGCTTCCTTCTTTGGGGTCGGTCCGGAGGAGCATAAGTCTGGCCCGTGTCAGTGCCGTGCCCGCTCTGGGACCCAGACGAGCTGAGCAGGAAACAGGAAACTGTGCCTCTGCCGGAGCAACAATTGGAAGTGACCCTCAGTGCGGTCAGGGTGGCTTCAGTCCCACCCTGCTGGTGGCCTCAAGAAGCAGGAGCCCTGGCTTTAGGGCTCGTAGATGTGTGCTGTGTGGGCTAAGGTTGTTTTGGGGACTGGAGGGAATTTCTTGCAAGGCCTCAGGAGGGGCCAGGGCCTGCATTTGCTAAGCAGGGTCTGGGCAGTTGGAGGAGCTCAAGTCTGCACGTCAGACAGACATGGGTTTCAGTCCCAGATCTGGGACTTTGTGCAAGATGGCGGCCTCCCTAACCACGTGTGCCCTGCTGTAGGGCTGCTGGTGAGATTCAGTGGCACAGCACGCATGCAGGCCAGCTCAGGATCGCAACCAGGAGGGCGCAAGGCTGTGGCACTTCAGGGCCCAGTGGGCACAGCAGCCAGTGGCTACCCTTCTGGGCAGAGTGGACTAAAGGCCTTTCCACCACTGCCCAAATTGCTCTTGTGCAGCTTGGCTGTGTTGTGTTTCAGGGACCTGCAGGGGTTGGATTCTTTCTAGGGAGAAGGTACACAGCTTGTAGCAGGCTCCCTGAGGGAAGGTTCCCGGCCTCTAGTAAGTTAACGAGAACTCGCTGGCTTTTAAGTGTTCTGTGATCTGCAAGCTCCATACAAATAAAAAGTGGTGCGTTTACTTGGAAAACTCCTATGGACTTAGGTGGGGCCTAGTTCCCTTTTAATTTCTCAGCGATCACTAGTTTCTATTCTGTTCCCTTCTCCCACGCGAGCTCTGTCTCTCCACATCCCCCAAGTCACTGTGGAGGAGGGCAGCTCCTTCCCTTCCTCCTTTGGCAGCGGGAGCTTGCCGAGGCCAAGGCTGTGTGGCGGCTCCCATGGCCCCCGCCCCATGGCTGTAGCTGCTTTGCTGCCCAGGACCCCAGGTCCATCTGTGGGGAAGAAGTCCCACAGAACTCGGGCAGTGTGCAGAGACGTCCCACCTGGTTTCATTCGGTCTTCAGGAAAACCTGTGATCCAGAAGGCAGCATTTCTCATCGCAGTGGGCGAGACAGGCTCTTGGGGGGCTTAGGACTTGGCTGCGCTAGTTTGCTATGACCTTGCAGCATAGACCAGGGAGGCAGATGACGGGCATCTATTCTATCATAATTCAGAGGGCTGGAAGTCCGAGACTGAGGTGACAGCAGGTAGCTTTCTTCCGTCTGTGTCCAGATACCCTCTTTTCACAAGGACTCTAGTCAGACTGGGTGAGGACCCTTCTAATGACCTCACCTTGACTTAATGGTCTCTGTGAAGACCTGTTTCAAGTGGACTCACATTCTGAGGTCCTAGGGGTTAGGACTTCACTGCGACCTGGGAGGAGGGGACAGATGGGCCGTGGCCTTGGTGTCACAGCTCGCTGGCAGCCCTGACTCTGGGGCCTCTTGACCCCAGTGTTTGTTGACCATGCTGCAGCCCTGCATTTCTATCTGGCCTTGGGTCTGGTGTTGCTGGCTCTGTGGCCACCGCTGCCCAGCCTCTCTCCCCTGCACTGGCTGCCCTCGCACAGCCCTGGAGCCTGGTGACAGTGGTGGCTGGGACCTGGGTCTGCCTGCGCCAGTGTAGAATGCCTTAATTTGTGGAGTGGGAAATCAGTGCCGAGGCCATAAGTGGCTCTTTGGACGTTGGCCAAGCGAACAGAAGCTATTAAAGAACTTTATAATTTCTCCTTCAATAAAGACCTTGCACATGTCCACACACACACACACACACACACGCATGCAGTAGCAGCAACATGCCAGAGCAGTAGCGTGCCCACGCAACCCTGCGTGTCTAGGACCTGGGATGGGGAGGGTCTGCACTACCCGTGGATCTGAGTGCCAGCTCTGGAGAAAAAGCAGTTCGTTCGTGCGGGCACACGAGCAGTGGCCGCCCTGTGCGGAGGCTCATTTTAGGCACTGGGAACCTGATGTAACAAAGCCCCCATCTTTCTGGGACTGGCATTTAAGAAGGGACTGCCACCTTCAACTAAGTGATCAGAGAAGGGGGCCCAGGGAGGCATTGCTGACTGGTGTCTTCTGAGAAACCGATTTTTGACTTGTGCCCTGGGGGAAGTAGGGCCTAAGTCCTTCGAAGAGCTGAGTCTTTGAGGCATAGGGATGCGCGGGTATGTGCTCCGAGGAGCGACAGGGCTTGTCTGGTGAAAATGTGAGTTAGAAAGCTTTCCTGCTGTGGGGCACATTGCTGACACCTGCGCTTAAAAGAGGACAGCTGGGGCTTATAGTTTCAGGGGATCCAGCCTGCGGTTTACTGCTCCAAGGTGGAAATCCCGTGGCTAACGGGTGTGGCAGGGCAAGGTGTTTAGTGCATGGTGGCCAGGAAGTGCAGCAGGGGGGCAGTGCCGGAGATTACCCCGTGCGCAGGGCCTCTGTGACCCCAGACACACCATCCCCGGAGTGGCTCCTGAGCCCGTGGAGTTGATATAATTAAGGCTTCCGTCACAGCCCGCCAGAGGACCTGTGAAACTGACGGAGGGGTGTGCTGGAGAGTGGAGGAGAGCAGGGTGGGAGCGACTGCGTCCTGAGTATGCTGGGTAAAGGGAGACGTATGGATCCCGCGCTAGGCACTGTGGGAAGCCGCTGGAAGGTTCTAAAGAAGTGACATTTTTTTCTTTACACTTTAAAAAATACCAATAGTGGGGGTTGGGGCTATAGCTTAGTGACACCTGCCTGGTTAGCGCAAGATCCTGAGTTTGATTTTAGGCATCAAAAAAAGCTAAGAATATTACTGAGTGTTACCCTGTGCTAGGAGATGTACATGTATTATTTCATCTTTATATCTGTAAAATATGAACTATTAATACCCCCTTTATGGGAAATTTCGCCTAGTGGCCACATTCATTTTCCAAAGTTATTCCAAGTAATGTCACGGGT